GGTGGTTACAAATGTAAGTCTAGCTAATTCTAGTCTAGCAATGGATTGGGACCAACTATGCGCAAGTTCAAATGTAAGTCTTATACCTAGCTTATACGAACCGGAGAGACGTTAACAGTCTGCAGAGAGACAGACAGACAGAGCGAAGCTCAGACAGACAGTGATGGGAGATATAACCGCAGTGTTTAAAATATTGCTGTCAGTGTTATCTGCTCTCTCTTGGTTTTTAAAATTTACTCTCAAGCCTCTCCACCTGAAGCTCACCTGTTGTGATAACCAAATTTATAGGGAACAGGCTAAACGACATTACACATTGTGTGCAGCAACCATGGTGACTGTCTGTCTGTCAATCTGTCCGCCCCCTCTATGAATTAATCTCTTCTTTCAGTAAAACTTACTTTGATCATGTGTCACAGAATGAACACATTCTGTATTATGTTTGATTATATATAAACAAAACTAAAGTTAGTCCAATGATGTCATAAAAAAACAACAAAGCCTATGAACAACGACTGCAGAGCCTGTATGAAGCTATAGCTGTAGGAACTCTGACTGCAGGGCTAAAATAGATCAGAAACACAAGAACTTGAAGTCTACATGTTTTTAAATGAATGCATCACTGCTTGAAAATGTTCCTGATGAGCACAAAAAGAGGATACATTACTAAATCATAATTTCAAAGTGGTGCTGAAAACCTTCAAATTGTGCATAAATATTGATCAAATCGATAGAAAGACGTTTTTGGTGCTAATTGATTGGGAGACCTCCAGACCCCCTTCAAAGATGTTTTTTTCAAATAGACTAAACTTATCAGAACAGTTTTTGTGCATTTAAACAAAATTATAACCATTATACAGGGAAATAAGTTTGATTGAACTGTTCAGTAACTTGCAAATTAGTCTTAAGTGCAGTATGAAAAAATCTGTGATAAAATCGTGATTGTGATTTTGCCCCAAAAAAATTGTGATATGGTATTTTTCCCATATCGCCCACCTCTAAGCCAACATATTACAGCTCGTTGTTGGCATATGTAAGCTGTCACTGCGTGCGCACAACTATGTCTCATCATATTGAGAGTATATGGATAATTTACTTTTTCAGCTTTTATCGGCTGATATCAATTTGATGCCTGTAGTATCATGCATCCCTCCCTAGTCTTAAGTATTCTGCATTTTTTTTCCTGTTACTAATTAGAACTTAATTGCGATCAGGTTGTTTCCTATTTGTGAAATTAGCTCTTAATTGGATTGCTAGAAAGGAAACCAGCAGGTCTTTGTATCTTGAACACCAGAGTTGAGCTGGCTGGGGAGTGTTAAAACTATCCTGCATTTTTGTAAATGCATATTCTGTGTATTGTGTATTTAAGTTTAGGAGATGAGATTCATGGCATAACCCATCTTGCCATGTCGTTAAGTTTTTAAAATTGAGATAATTAAAAAAAAAAAGAAATACCTGCCATGTTACCATTGTTCATTCTTTTACTGTGTTGTCGAGATTAATCCAGGCCAGAGGAGATATTTTGACTTTGATTTGAGTGTTTTCCCTCTATAAGCACTGGGAAATGACCCCGTGGACAGGTTGTTCTTCCTTCCCCTCATCATATGACCTGCATCAAACTATCCTGTGGCTTAGTTAGGAGAATAAAGGCAACCCTGTTCGAAAGGTATGCTGGTGAGATGAGAAAAAGATTACTTCTGTCCTTTTCTATTCTGGTTTGAATGTACATTTAAAAAAATCTATTTGAATGTTTATTTTCATCCAGTTTTATTTGAAATTATTAAGACTATTTCCAAGTGCACTCAGTTCATGTTAGTTATCTCCTACTATTGGCTGGGATATAGCTACAGATGGACATGTGTTACTTCCATGACACATGGCGGCACCAGCGACGTCTTTTCACCTGCCAGCTTTGAGACTTGCCTGGATGGTTTAATATTCAGGTGGTCCATGCAATCCCAGACTCTATTAAACCCCCCAGAAAGTGTTAGCCTAATGAAGAAATACCTCTGCAATCCTGTACAAAGGGACATGCTGGAATTGTCTTTCTTAGTAGCAGTTGAAACGGCAAACTGTTCATTCCTAGATATTATTTTAGTTTGGAAATGGAACAAGCGAAGCAGCTCATTAATTGGAAAGAATATTGAGTAAGTATGTTAATATTTAAAATGAGAGCTGAGTTTGTTTGCTGTTTTGAGTTTGGAAGTTTTCCAAACTAAAACTGAAGTTAATTTAACAGTTGGAGATAATTGTAACCATGGTAAGCAAACTGAGCTGCACCTGATTGACCAGAACTCAATCTTTTTCCCATTTACAGAAGAGGAAACAATAAATCGCAGACACACCTGGTAAATCTTTGCCCATTGTTCGAGTTGGATGTGGCTGAGAGGCCTGCTACTTAAAGTGTCAGACTGATGCCAAACTGGAGTTTCGTACCATTCTACCGACTACAAAGAACCTGTGTGTGTGTGTGTGTGTGTGTGTGTGTGTGTGTGTGTGTGTGTGTGTGTGTGTGTGTGTGTGTGTGTGTGTGTGTGTGTGTGTGTGTGTGTGTGTGTGTGTGTGTGTGTGTGTGTGTGTGTGTGTGTGTGTGTGTGTGTGTGTGTGTGTGTGTGTGTGTGTGTGTGTGTGTGTGTGTGTGTGTGTGTGTGTGTGTGTGGTGGCACAATTTCAACACCAGGCAACTGAGGCCAGCTGGCTCGTTTTTGTTAACACGTTTGGTTGAAAGATAAATACTCAACAGGAATCTGGGACATAACTGAACAAGTGTGTTTTAACTGACTCGTAGTGGTGTCTATAATACCAATACCGACCACATCAAATTTAAAGAGACAAAAATGACATAATGTAAGTGTAAAATGTGAACTTGGCTGTGTGGCCTTTCAAAACTATAGACAAAGTCATTTAGGAGGCACATAGTATGAATTTGATTCAGCTACTTTTGGGTTAAGACAAAAATGCTAATTTTGATTTCATATCCACACAATCATACTTTTTATTTTGTTGAGTCTATTTTCCTGACTATGTTAGTCATAGATTGTGAAATACTCTTCAATCAATCAAACAGTTTGTAATCCATCAATTTTTGACCAAAATCATTAACTGTAGTCAAAGATAAAAAATTAGGCATTGCAATGTTCATAAATCAATTCATCAACATAAATCAATTTCTGAGCTCTTGCAGTTGCACCCATTTAACTAGATTTGACAAGTGGATCCTGTCCAAAGGTTCATGAGAAAAGATGGCATTTTAGAAGGGTGTTTCTGGGGGCTGGCCTGGGTCTTGGTGATAACCAGGGATGAGAATCACAGGGTCACTCATGATACGATTCCAAATGCAATTCGTAACCATGATAACGATAATATCACCATACAGCAATTCTGTGCTAATGTTGCAAAAACATTCAGTTAAACAGCTAATGTGATCATTATGTGATTAATACAAAATGCCCCTATTCACTACAATTTGTTGTCAGTTTTACCTCTTATCACACGGCATCTCTTAACTTTTTGAGCCCTGTTTGACTTAACCACACTGTCTTCGTTGTTTTTGTTTATCTCACTGTCAACTTGATCTGTATCCATTTACCTTTTGTTCACATTACCCTCAATTACAAAAGAAAATATCAATATTTGGCAACAGACACTTGATAATTGGATCACAGAAGTCAGGAAATTATACGTCACGTTGTTATTTAGTCCAACCCCTGTTAATAAAAACAAACATATTGATTTAGTGATTGGCCGAAGCCTAAGAGATGCAACGTGTCAACAATAAGCCATTCCACATAGACTCACACTAGATAAACTCACAGATGCAGGAAAAGGACGCTAAGAAAGAAGGCAAGAGATAGCATGAATGGTGACAGAAGAATGATGGGAGGTAATAGAAGGGCATTGGAGAAAATAGGACAGGAAAATTAGTTTCACAATACAGGCCAGGGGAGCTGCTGTCATGAAACTGTTATTGATAGAGGCACTGGAGAGAAACAGAGGATGAAATGAGTTAGCAGTAGGAAACATGGGGGTAAATAGAGGGGGAAATTAGGAAGACCTTGGGGTCTGATAATAAAATAGGAAGGGTGGAACAGATGAGATCATCAGAATATAAAGAAAGATACTCAAGAGCATTGTTGGGTAAATCAATCCTTCATGTTCTCATATTAGCTGTTTGACTCTTGGGCACTGTTCACCTGAAACAAATCCTGGAGTTGCCGTCTATGTGTCAAAGGAGCAACACACATGCTTCGAATGTAGATGTAAAATCTGTACGAAGCGTAGCCAACAAAAGGGAGTTTGAGGTGAAAGGAAGAGGGAGGGATGTACATACAAGAGGGGTAGGTCCAATTGGCAGCAGACAGCAGGGTGTCAACCTACTAAACCTCTGTATGGTATAAAGTGAAGCAGAGCTTTTTTGTTAGTTGGGCATCTGACCAGGAAAGAAAGAGGAGTCTGTTGTTCCTGATTGAAGTTTGCAGTGAGTAATTTAATGGAATCACGTTTTCTGGGGTCAGGAAGTGGTCATGTTTTTCCTCAGAATTTCACTTTTTAACGTATTTGAGAGAAATGTTATGCTAATCTTGATGATTTGTGTGTTACTTACCAATTGGTAGATTGTGTTGTGAGTTCCTCAGTTAAGAAACTTCAGAAGTTCAAGTGAAGGAGATTTCTTCTTTAATTATGTTGCGTGTTTGAGTGTTTAAAGACTCATCCTTGTTGAAGCTGTAGTTTCTTCACCTCTGCTTAATGATTGAGATAAAAACATTAGGAAGTTGAGGTACTTCCTGCTCTGTGTCTTAGAGTGTGATGTTATCCGTTTCATTATACTGGCCCTTATTTAATTGCTGCGTTGACCCGTATTAAATGCTCTTAAGAGTATTTATACATGAAAGCAGGACTTGCATCACATGTCTGCAGCTGATAATGAATGTGTGAAAATGTGCATCCAATCTCTAGAAATGTTTACAGTTTGTAAACATGTATTTCTTATCTGTGTATTTCAGACCTGGTGCCTCCCTGATTAAACCCTGACTGAGCACGTGTCCTGACTAACAATCCAGAACCATGACGGCCATCCACGCACCTCGGGACAAGTAAGAGAATCGTTTTCTATTTTTAGTTTTAGGACGTGCAAAATGACATTTGGAAAGAATCCATTCAATAAACTTTCTTACATTGTTTGTTGATATTTAGTTTGAACACTTCATTCATGTACGCTAACGTAAACTTCCTCTTGTCTCTTCCCCAGATACAATGCCGTATGGATTATTTTCTTCATCCTGGGCTTGGGAACCCTCTTACCCTGGAACTTCTTCATGACAGCAACAATGGTAAGCTAAGTAACATTTTAGGATAACTACATTATTTTGAATGTGAGGATTATTGCTGTTAAATTTAGTTAATCTTAAAATCAACGACAGATGCAGGGAAAGAAAAGAGCCCTGTTGGTGGACTTGTGGTTAGTTAATTAAAAGGTCTGGCTCCTCTTAGAGGAATGTCACCAACTAAAAGAAATCCCAAGATTGTTTGTTTACCTCTTCTTTAAAACCACCTGGTTTCACTCAGGGTGGCTGACCTGACTCCATCCAGGTGGATTATCCAGCTGTGCTTAAGCCTCTCTAATCCCGAGCCATTCTTTTTGACCTCTTAAGGGGTTAACTTCTTAAAATATGGAATTTCACTGTTATTATACTGGACCCACCCTGAGGGCGTATTTCTGTCTAAGCTAAAATTTCTTATTTGTTTTGTTAAAAAGGATCACATTTATAGACTGCCACTTCAGCCTATATGTTCCATATCTTAAACATGACTTTAATTGATGCTTCATTTAAGCACCAAAATATTCCCATGTTTCATTGAATTGACTCATTTTTCTTAACCTCACTCCTAAAGTTGTCCCATTATTATTCATTTTCTGGCTGTTTTTTTTATGTCTTGATTGGAAAATTTTTGTCAAGTGCTGTTTCTCATGTTTATTTACACCCTTAACACTATACATAGGTGGAACGAAAATGTATTAATGAAAGCCTCTCTTAGTTGACGATTTTGGATATATATATATATATCTCATAGAATATTAGTAAATATTGTCTGTTGTTTTCCTTGAAGCTCATAACCTACATGCTACATATGAATTTATTTTTTCATCTTCTTCTTAAGTACTTCACCAGTAGGCTGAAGGACTCCCCTTCTACAGACCTTTCCTCCAATCAGACGTTAAACAGGACCTTGGAGACTGGGGACACGCGCAATGTGCTGGAGGCAAAGTTTAACAACGTGATGACACTCTGTGCCATGGTGCCCCTGCTCATTTTCACCTGCCTCAACTCCTTTATTCACCAGAGGTATCCGACCTGCCCCACACAGCCATATCCACACATTCTGAAAAAAAAAAATGGTAGTTTTATGACAGAGATAAATCTTGTGGCACAAAAGCTTAAAATCCAAGATTTAGCTTATTGAGGCAAATTCTGCACTGTCACTTCCCCGCTCTTTCTTTCTCTCCTTCTCACTCCCCTTCTCACCCCGTGCCGCTCAGGTAACATGATCCTTAATGTGAATGTTTGCCTGTATGATGCCTCCAGGATGTTTGCTTTAATTAGAGTAGCATTTGAGAGATATCTATGGTTGACTCTTGTCACGGCTAACTCTTCCCATGCACATACACACCCAGGAATGCTATTTATGTTTTCAACTCCCTCCACATCTACTTTTTAATTTTCCATCCTCCCCTTCAATTTTGTTCCTTTACTCCTGCTCCCATCCTGGATACATTCCCTTTACTTCTGCAGAGCCTTTTTTAAGTTCAAAAGTGTTCTTGAACAGAAGAAAAGGAGGATGTTGGGTGCTCATGGTGGCAATGAGGTAGACTCCAGGTGAAATCCAGGTGCTCTGGAAGATAAACAATTGACCTTATGGGAGGAAGGCCACCAGGCTATCTTCAGACACACTCGCTAAGAGACCAGGATAAAAAAAAGCCTTTAACGAATGAGGGTACATATAAAAACCAGCATGGGAAAGATGCCCCTTTTCTCATTTTTTTTAACATGATCCTTGTCATTAAGCGAGTGTGCCTGAAGATAGCCAGGTGGCTCCCTTTTTTTTTTAAAACAACCCACTCTATTTCTTCTTTATTCAACCTTGTGTTGAAAGGACCTCAACTTAACCCTTTTGTCATCACATCAGAAAATGTTAGTTTTTACTTCTGCTCAACAATGAATCATAACACTCTCCTACATACTGCAGTCCTCATTTCCTGTTGGATTAAAGAGAATCCTGCTGTTCACTTCCTGCTTTTGTTTTCTTTCAACACTTCTCATTTTTATGAAGAATATAGAAGTAGTTTAGTTATACATTTGAAACATAACTGTTTTTTTTATACTTTAACACAAGATTTATTTCATGACTTATTATACATTTAATCAGTGATTAATGTTTTGAATTTATTCTTTAAGTGTCCTGAATCATTGTGGCTGATGTTCTCCACAGTTGGCTTTAGTTGGTTGTGTTGAAAACTGCCTCGTGCAGTATTCTCTAATGTTATTTCACTTTGTGTGACTCAGGATTCCACAGAAACTGCGGATCTCTGGCAGCCTGACGGTCATCCTGGTTGTTTTCCTGTTGACAGCTGTGCTTGTCAAGGTCAACGTGGCCCCACTGGCCTTCTTTACCCTCACCATGATCAAAATCGTCTGCATCAATTGTGAGTTTGAGTAAATACAGCTCTGATGATAATACTTTTTTATAAAACTGCAAAGAAAGTCTCTGTCTACTCAAAAAACAAAAGTGTCAGAAAAAAGTAATGTGAAATGAAAAGACAATAATATTTTAGGGAAACAAAGTGCAGTGAACCAGCCCACCCAGATCACAAGTATTAGAGTTTGGGTGTTTATTTGATAATTGAACTCTTCAGTCTCATGCTGTTCATGTAAGTTTAGATTCTCCTCATATGAGTGAGGTTATTTTGATGCGTTTAGCTCTTAAGAGAAGTCATGAATCTGTCGAGTCAACAAGATTACAGGAAGAACAGGAAGATTACTCAGGAGCTGTCCTTTTGGTTTCTAGTAGCAGTGACCTTCTCCTCAAACAAATACTTTAGTTGAAGAGTTTGGAATTTTACAAGTAAACTTTCAAAAGCTCGCTGCATCAGACTTTTCATACTTGTCATCGTTTGTATTGACGAATTTTTGCAATGAATGTTGCAAAATACTGACTGAAGTCCTTATTTGGATTAGAAGGTCAGGACAGGTATTTCTCTGATAACAACAAAACCACATTTTTACAGATTGTTTGCAATTAAGAGGATGAAAAAATCTTACAGAAATGTCTTATTTTGTCTCTGTTGTTTCCTTTGTCTCAGAATCCCTCAAACTGTGGCTCTAAGACAGTAGACCAAGTGATATCAATGATGTTAGACTGAATATGAGAGAAACCTGTGTATAATGTAACACAATCCACAGCCTCTGGGATGACATAAAGTTAAATCAAAACCTGGAGGTCATGCAGGTAGCTTTTAATGTACCGCCGTTGTATTTGAATGTATTCACTGAAGGATCTTATTTCCATTTTGAACTCATACAAATGATTATTTCCACGTGTTTTCCTCTTTGATCCTCTTCTGCATCCCCTGTGTTTGGAAAATCTTTCACTCTCTCTCTAGCGCCACACTGAGCTTCAGAACACAGTGTGTAATCCCACAGTGAGTGTTTATTTACAATGACTCACTCAGCAGCAGGGAAAAGCTCACCCCCTTTTTATCGCCGTTGGGCCAGCCCTGACCCCCAAGTCATCCTGTGGAACAGCCTCATGAGTGTTTGATTTAGAGAGGAGGGTGTCCTGACCTTGATGCTTTCATAGCTCCATGGCCGCACATTCCTCTCATTGGACACATGTTCACAGATTCCTGCAGCTAATGAAGTTTCAAAGTTGATGTACAGATGCTTGTAATCGATCCAAGTGTTGCAAGTTTTTATAAAAAAGCCTTTCAGGCTACAAGCTGTGTAAATTCAGACAGTTATTATATAACAGGAATGTAAAACCCTGCCATTTACAAAAATGTTCTCTGCTGCATCTTTTTCTGTTGGCATTTTTTTCTTCTTCTGTGTCAGTGACTTTTCAAAGTGTAGTTATTCTCAAACATCCTTGTCTTGTTTTTTTCTCTCCCTCCCCAGCGTTCGGGGCGATTCTTCAGGGCAGTCTGTTCGGGCTAGCAGGGATTCTGCCTGCCTCCTACACCACACCCATCATGAGCGGACAGGGGCTGGCCGGCACCTTCGCTGCTTTCTCCATGATCTGTGCACTGGCCTGTATGTCAAACCACAAGTACACTACTTCTAAATGTGGACAAACAGGTGGTGGATAAAGCACCTGAAGATGTGCTGATGCTACTAAGATTGACATTTTTGTCCCAGCCCATATCTTCCATCCATTTTTTTTTTCAAGATAACCTAGTTAAACCTTTTAGCCAATGACTTCATTTCCTTAAGAATTATACTTCTTGAATGTTCATTTAAAGAAGATGCTTTCTTAAAGGAACAGAAATGTTCTGAAAGCTGAGCCTACAAGAAAAACGATTGCATTCATTGAACACTTATAGAAGTCTCAATACCCACTGATGATTTTCTGTGTGTCTGTAGCTGGATCAGCCCTGCAGGACAGCGCTTTTGGTTACTTCATCACAGCCTGTGTTGTTATCCTGTTGGCCATAATGTCCTACATCATTCTGCCCAGAATGGTAAGAGCTTGTATTCTCTTTAACCCAAGCAATTTTTAGGGAAATTGTTTTATTTATTTTTGTCCAAATTCTGTTTAATGACAGAAACACAACCTCCAATGAGAACTGACTCCATCTCTGCCCTGTTTTTTAAAATACATTTTTACGTTATGTATTATTTGTTTATTTCAACAGGAGTTTTTCCAGTACTACATGGAGAGCAATGTACCCAGACCCTCTGCTGACGAGGAGAACAAGATGGACTTGCTCAGGAAAGGTACAAACAGTACACTTATAGAATTTTTAATATCTCATCAACTGAATGACCGAATCCTGTATTATTATATCGATTGACTTTGTGTCAGCCATGTCTCCATCTTAGCCTCTTTCTCACGGTCCGAAGTTTTCCTTCTTAACCACAAAATGACCATGGAAACCAAGGCCACTGTGTTTGTCGCAGTTTGTGTTATGGTGACAATGGAAACACTGTATAATTAAAAAGCTCGTATGTATAAACAGCCGCTCCAAAGTGGAGTAAAGGTCCGAACTCAGTGTCACATGTGATTAAAAAAAGAGAAACAGCTGTTTGTGTGTATGTTTGTTACTCAGATAGTGCTGCAGAGAAGAGACCTGTGGTGAGTCTGACGGACGAGGAGCTCAAACCCAGCGTGTCTGTGTTCAACATCTTCAAACAGGTGAACTGACTTCAGCACTTTGTAAGAAATAAACAATAATGAAATAAGCCAAAAGTCCTCACAGCTTTATTTGAGCTATGAATAAATGATTAAAGAAGCTGACCTGACACAGCATCGTTCACCTGTATGCACCACATTGAACTGCTCACAAAATATTGATTCTATTGGTCTTGTGCTCTCTAATCAGATCTGGGTGATGGCTCTATCCGTGTGCTTCATCTTCACTGTCACCATCGGTACTTTCCCAGCAGTCACAGTTGAGGTCAAGACAACAGTAGCCAACGGAGGCCCCTGGGGTGAGTCCCACACAATTTTAGAAACAAAATCTTTGTTTGTTTCACAACATGAAGATATCAGGCTGGGAAGATTTGAAACTCCTAACCCCGGACAGAGTACCTTCTGTTGTTAAGGAAACAGAGTTTCTAGACAATTGAAAAAAGTTACAACTAATTTCTCTGTTTGCTGTCAGAAGTAAAACTGTCAGGCGCCTGGATAGCTCACCTGGAAGAACATGTGCCTCACGTTCTGCTCGCTGCAGTGGGCTGGTCGGATTCTGAACGCTTTGTGTCATCCCCTTTTTCTATTCCAAATATTTCTCGTCTTTTGAGCTGTGGAAATCAACTAAAAGGAAAATACAAAAGTGTTGAAAGGATGGATTTATATTTTACTGTAGTGTGGACTTATCCTCGGCCTTTGCCTTCACTGCAGCCTTGTATGAGTTACACATGTGATCCTTTAAGCACATTCAGTGTGTCGTACAGTGTCTAGTAAAAAACAGCTCAGCTCTTCCTGAACTCTAAATGTTGACTCTTTGGATCAGGATACATGAAGACATCTCATTACAAGACAAACTTCAAGGCATTCTCTGTTTAACAGTTAAAAAGCCTCTTTGTCACAACACTGCTACAAAGACCTTTAAACAATCAGCCTTCGTCATTAAGTCTTTGTCTTAACTCCATAACAAGTTCCTAGGAGTTTTTTATTTAACACATTCATTCTACTTACAGGACTATTCCACTGGAAATCTGTCTCTTTAAGTGCACTCTTTGCTTGGATGGATATTCAATTGTTAACATCTTGTTTGATTTTTCTCTCACTTCAGAAATGTACTTCATCCCTGTGTCATGTTTCCTCCTCTTTAACACGATGGACTGGGCTGGCAGGAGTCTGACGGCCTTCTGTATGTGGGTCAGTAGAAACTATTTTAACCACCAGACTCAGTGCTTCTAACTTTCTCTGAAGGTTTGGGCTTCTCTTTTAGGTTCATAGACGGCTGATTTACTTGAAAGGCACAGCCAGCTCTTTGCAGGTTCAGTGGATCTCTTCAGGGGAAACTTAAAAATGATGGTGATGTTGTTGGTGCTTTCAGGTCTTTTGAGAAGCAGGACAGCCTCAATATCTGCAAATTACGAGAGAGTCATTTTCAAAATGTACCAGTTTGTTGTAACTACAATGATTAATGGTTAATGGTTAGTAGTTCTATCAATAATTCCATTCATCAATCTATTAACATCCATCTCTCTACACAAACACTAGCTTTGTAAATTCCATTTGAAATAACTTATGGTGATGTTTAAAGAGATCTGCTGTTCTCTAGAAGTGCTTTTGATGATAAACACATGTTGACACTTATGAAAGCCTTTAGTTGTGTAAATGTTGACACATGGTGAAACCGGAGTCATAAGTGGAATGGTGGGGAAATTTTACAGGCATGTTTTGTTGCTGAAATCAGACTTCGGTGGTGAGTGGAGTGTTTTCTTTGTTACTGCTGTGACTGATAAAATGGTTTTGGTATCTTAATGGTTTTTGGTATCTTAAACGCACATCTGGCTAAAAGATGACTGGATATATTTTATTGGACTGTTGCCTGGGGCCCGTTTAAGTTTGAGTGACCTCCCCTTCTGAAACAGAAAACCCAGAGTTTCCCTCATTTCAGGGTTAACGGACTCAGTGGTTGCACAAAACCTGTTTACTGAAACGGGCCCCTGGAAAACAACAACATTGACAAACTGCTTCAATGCTCTGCTATTTAGAGGAAATGATGAAATTGAATAAATTCTTTTCAAACAGAACAGTAAGTTAGCCGTGTACTCTAACTGGAGAGAACTGCAGTCAGCTGCTCTGGGACATGTGAATTTATTTATCATTATTTGGCAACAATAAGAGGGTCATATGCAGGTTTCCTCTGAGGGGCTTTGAGAGGTCATGTTTTTTTATTGGACTAAACTTTGATTTCAAACCACGTGTACAACATTTAATATCAAAACTAGTGTAAGGTTTTTTTTATGGGCAGAGAAACTAAAACATTGTAAAAGAAAATAAGAAATGTAGAATATTGTTTAAAGATGTCAGCATGCTTTTCCCCTACATTTCTTTTAAGCGGAGACAAACATCAGATACAAATATTTTGCAAACATAATTTATGGTACAAGATTTAACTTATTGTTGATGAATATTTCGATTATAATTTTTTTCTGTAGCAGGTCAGAAAAAAATTAGCATCACTTATTCCTCGAGTTCAAGGCGATGCCTTCACTCCTTTTTTTTGTCAGGCCAACTGTCGAAAACCACAAAATCCATTCATTCTTGTTTTAGAAAGGTAAATGATAAAATCCTGACAAGTGGTAGAATAAAAGCAAAGAACTTGATCCATTTTTCTTGGTAACTTGATAAATAATTCTAGTTTTAAATTGTATCATACCACAGCTGCAGACTGTTTTTTTATAATGTAATCTCTCTATATATAATATATGCATGGTGTTGGTGTTTTGAGTCTCCTGTCGGTCGCTGTAGTTCATGCTTTGCTTCTCTCTCTGCAGCCCGGTAAAGACAGCCTCTTGCTACCTGTGTTTGTGGCTCTGCGGGTCTTCTTCATCCCCCTCTTCATGCTGTGTAACGTCCAGCCTCGTCACTATCTCCCCGTGCTGTTCTCTCACGACGCCTGGTACATCATCTTCATGATCTTCTTCTCCTTTTCCAACGGATACCTGGCCAGTCTCTGCATGTGCTTTGGACCAAAGTAAGAACAACACACACATTGTGATTACACAGAGTTTATATTTAAACATAAACAATCCTGATGAACTTTGTCCCTCTGCTCTCTCCGTACAGGAAGGTGTCACAGCACGAGGCAGAGACGGCGGGGGCCATCATGGCCTTCTTCTTGTCCCTGGGCTTAGCTCTGGGTGCTGCTGTGTCATTTGCTTTCCGTGCCATGATCTAAGCTCTTCATTAGACCACCTCACCATCCAACACTCCCGGTCCTCACCCTGTTCAGGAGAGTACGCGGCAGACGAGGGGAACAGTATTCTTAAGTGTACAGTAGAGACTTGTCTCAACCACCTCAACGACAGTAGAAGCTGAGATATGTTACTGAATTTTATTTAGTTTTAATTTGAGCAGTGTGTGAACGTGTGCTATTCCTCATGTTTCCAAACGATGCCATTGATCCCAACACACATCATGAGCTCAAACAGTTCTTATAAAGACGACATGAACACAGCATCCCAGAGCCTCATTAATAAAAAAAAAAGTTATTCTGCACCCAATAACCTGGAAATGTTAAAACATCAACATTTTCAGAAGTCATAAGTTTAGTTCACTTTGTTTCATATTCTTAATATCATAATTACATGACATATTTTTTTTATAAATGAGGCTCTTCAACTCTTTTGTTTTGTTTGTCATGATTAACCAGTAATACTATTACTGTATTATTTGTACAAAAAACTATTTGTAAACTATGTTACTAGCTATTACACTTTTACAGTACATGTTTACACATCGAATCTCAAACATCACTCTGGACTGTGTGCTGATCAAGCCAAAAACAAAAAGACAACATGGGGAAAAGATGAACTTTGACAGAAGTGATGACCCATCAGCCGCTTTGCTCCCTTGCTCTACTTTCACCATGGACTCTGATCTCTTGTGTTTCTGTGTGTGTGTGTACGCGTATGTGTGTGTGTGTGTGTGTGCACAAGTTTCCCTCTAACAAACTATCGAGTTCTAATAAATGTAAGGACGAACGGAAGCTTGAAGACGAGGTTCAAATTGATGATCTGGGCCATTTCCAGCTGAATAATAATTGTTTTAGCGTGTGTGTTGTTTAGATTAACGTGTAACAGTGTGGCTTTCTTCATTTACAGTTTGATTTACTAAATAGAACCAGAGGTCACATTTTCTGCTTGGAGTTCAGCCCACGTGTTTTCTTTTGTTTTGTTTTTTACTGTTACTGTGTCTTCCTGAAGAGAATCAGCATGATGTATTTTTTAATGCAGAAAAAGAGAAAAATATGCAACTGTCTTGTGACTGGAAATGTGCCATGAGGAGCGAGACTTTTAAGTTCTTACTGTGACATTTCTCATTTAACGTGGACTCTGGAAGATCATTTTTATACTGAATATAGTTTGTAGTATGTTTTTCAAACTTTACCATGTGGCTCTCGCGGAGTTATTTTTGTTATAAAATTGGGGGTTGTTTATAGGCCCTCTCTCTATCAGTGTTATATTTGAATTGCTTTGCAGTCTTGTGGCCTTTGTCATCCTTTCCACAGTATTATTCATAACAATGGCGGTTTACAGCCAAACATCACGTTTTAATGCAAAAGTTGGTTTGTTATAAATGTGTTGGCATGGACATTTAAAATGTTACATTTATTACAGCTATAAACAGCTCTGTGATCAAATAAAACTGTGTATTTTTTAAGAATGTGGCTCCCTCTGCTGGTCATATTTAGTTACACAACGATCTAATAATGACAACTATTGGTTCCTTTTTTAAATTTTGTTACACAAACATACTCAGGCTTCCTAAAACGCTCTGGGAATATTGTAGGTCAAAGTGAATGAATTAGTGTCATTGAATTGTAATAGTTCAGAAATGCCTCTACAGCATGTTGAAGAAATGCAGCCTTTCCTCCTCTTCTTCTCGCTGACCTTTGTGAAACAAGGGCACTGATTGAGAAACTAACTGCACAGAGAAAGCGACTTTTCAGTACTCACTAATGTAAGAATCAAACCATTGTGAAGCTTGGAGACCGCCCAAGTAATAAACATTTTTAAGATTTCCCATGACCCCATGTAACTGATTAAACTCAGTTCAGAAAAGCTCATGTTTTCCCACTGAGATGAGATGTCCAATACAGTGACCTCAACTTTCATAAACATGGAGAAAAAACGGCACTTAAAAAAACAACTGGATGTTTTCTGCACTTGGGGAGGCATTGGCAAGAAAATGAAAAAATAAGAAATACAATTGATTTCGTAGTTGTGATGGCTACTTTTTACTGTGCGAAGTTTCTCAGTCATCAAGGTCATCGTAAGCTTGACCCAAAGACAACTGGACTTGGTTGAAGATCTTGGAGACATTTCACCTCTCCTCCAAAAGGCTTCATCGCAATGTTTTCTCTGTTCTCTGAAGCCTTCAGATCAAGCTGCAATTTGATGGCTAACTTGTTTAATTATTCTTACACATCCAACAGCTCTGGAGCAACATTATCATTCAGTTGTTGTCCTCTGTCTTCCTCCACTGGTCAAAGAAACATTCTCTATTGGCTCTAGTTTGGTTGAACTCCTGGGCCTTCATGAGCATTTGGTGGCATGTTGGGAGCATAAATGTGATAAAGAGAAGCGAAGACTAAACCAAAACAGATAAAAGGAGGGTCAGAAATATATATATATATATATATATTTTTCAGCTCAGGTGATCATTCTTTGTAGGTTTACAAGGTTATGAAAGAGAGTGAAATTAAAACTGATGGTTCTATACGACTTCCAAAAGAGAACCAGACCTTCAGAGACTAGACTTTTTATATCTCTAGATCATTTTAATATCTGAAACCCCTGCAGCTAAGTAGGAGTTAGACAAAGTAAAAAAGTGCAGAAATCGCCTTTCTCAGCAAAGACTCACAGTGATATGTTTGACTGTTAAATGACAGCAGGATTAGATTTTTTTTATTTTAAACTCCACATGAACAGGACCAGATTACTAAAGAGGGAACAGGTACAGCTTTGTCCAGAAGTGTCGTCAACATTGATATAAACCCAAAGTTCTTCAGAGGTTGAAGGAGCAGAATACAATGGAAGACTATTTATTCACAACAGTACATTAATAGTTTATTTGAGATAAGATCATTTTAATTATTAAGGAACCCTTAACACTTTGATGAAAGTCTCAGGATTCTTATAATTGTTTTAAGATCAGTATTAGCACATTCCTTCAGTTCAACTTTCTTAACTATCATTTTTATTTGACTTTATGTGAAGTGAACACATCACTTAGAACGCCTTGTTACTATTCTCTTATATTTCATAGCTTCATCAAGCACTTTTAAGGTAATTTAATACTTATTAAATGCATAATGTATGCTTCATTAAGCTTTTCTGAAAAGGCTTCACACTGTTAATGTTTCTAATAATAATACTAAGATGTGCATCTCAAAATGTTCAAGGAGACATTTTACAATCTTTGTTGGTAAAGAAAGAGAAACTTTTAGACTCTTTATTCAAAGAAATCCTCACAAGAGACACAAAAAAAGGAGTCTAAAGGTTTGTATTTATGATTCATTCTTAAGATATACATTTTATTCAAAAATAAATTACCAGAGATATCTTTAAAAGGCAGACAGACATTGTCTCCAACCAGCCCGTCACAAAGTATTCACATCACATGTTTCTATGAACGTGTCCTCACGAGAGGGACAGAACTAGTGTGAACCCTACAGCAGCAACTTCTCTTCAAAAGAACCAGACTGTTAAGCTGATCAACAGAAACAAAAATAGCCAATGTCAACTTATTCACTATAAAACATACTCAGTTTATTTAAATATTTAATCCAACTTACATGCCCGATTGGTTGTAATGTGTTAGGAAAGGTCAGTAAGAAACTGTACAGAATGAGACTGGCATTTGAGGTGAGAAATCATTTGGATGGAATCAAAACCGAAACAATCAGACAGTAATGAAGTCGATGGTGAACAAATATCTCCTGCTACAGAGAAAACAATGTGATTTACAGTTTTGCAACTGGAGAAGGCAGGAGAAACATTTCTTGTCAGTGTATGAAGTCATCTGAAACATTTTAAGTCATATGTCTTTATATACTCCCTTGCTGGGCGATGGACTAGATGATTGCAATGCTTTTATGTCTGCTGGCTAATCATAAAGCTAGCTTAGCTAGGCAAAAAGACCGTAAACTAAGTGAACCAGATTAGCTGCTGGCTTTAGCTACATCTTCCCTCCACATGAGGTGTATTCATTTCCTTATCTAACTCCCTACAAGAAAGCAATGAGCGTATTTTCAAAAATGTGAAACTTTCCCATGAGAGAAATTGAGATTAAAGATTTGTATTGCTAACACAGCAAAAGCTAGAGGCTTCTAAAAAAAACAGCTAGTGTCTCTTCAATGAAAGGCAGCAGAGGAGAGAAATGTCTCAACATGAGAACGAAGACAGGCCTGGCTCTAAAAGCTCTAAGCTAGCTCAATGCTATAACCGAGTGACTCAATGAAGAGAGCCATACACCTGCAGGTCCGCTACGAGACGCTAAAGGTTCGATCACTTTTTAAAAAGCACATCTGTTCAACATTAAAAACAAACACCAGATGAGAGGCGCTTGGCTTCCTACAGATCTCACCAGGGTCACAATCACACGATTTCTGAATCGACTTGTCGCCTGTGCTCGTGGGAAGGGTTAACAAACAGAAGAAAAGTAAACTGAACTGTCTAGCTTGCGAGACAAAACAAATAAATGCACACAAGTCAGCTTTTAAATTTGCATTCATTGTTGTTCCAGCTGCTTACCGCTGTGTCAGTTTTCCCTGAATTACAGCTTGATCCTGAAGCGATGCAGCAAACAGGTCAACGTGTCTACAATACGCACCACAACACAACGTGTGTCTATCACAGCATGGCACACTGGAGGAGATGACAGTCTTTTAAGCTCCTGTTTTGGCTTCTCTACACGGTCCTCTCCTGAACATGCAGTTTCTGCTCTGAGGCACTGGGGGGCGATGAAGAGCAACACAGACAGCAAGCCTACAGGTCCATTACAGCAAATGAAGAAGGGGCAGTGACGTGGGAGGAGAGGGAAAAGCTTTGGTGTTGATGTAGTTCCACAGTTGAAGGATTGAACAGATTGAACAAGTGGGCAGGAGGCTGATGAACACAACGAGGGAGACGCATGCACGAGGAGGAGCATCATTGAGTCTTTAACTTGGTGTGCTGCGAGCCCTGTTCTGTCAAGCTTGCTTTGATGGAGTTGATCACCGTCTGTCTGACGTTGTCTTCCATATAATTCTCACTTAATGGCTTCAAAACCTGCAGAAGAGGAAGAAAAAAAAAAATGTTAGTTGGTGTCAGAGTAACTGCAGTCAAAGCATCCAAAGATGTTCTATAAAAGGGGACAAAGAAACTGAAAGAAAAAAGGTTAGGGGAGGAAAATATTAAAGACAAAGAACAAAAAGTGTATGTAGTCTTAAACATGCCAACAACAGAAACAAATCTCAAGCTTCTCAAACATTAAGATCTACAACAAAAAAACTCAACTGAAAAAATTAAAAGGCCAGATAATGTGTCAAAGATATTTAGAAACCATTTGAGCGGGCAACAAGTCCTCAAAATCCTGAGATGAGTCCGGCCAGTAGGTGTGCAGATACATTCAAAGGTAGCAGGTAAAGTAGAAGACTCCAGCACCATCGGATTAAAAAAATACTAATAATGAAAACAGAAAGCAAACTGCAAAGGTTCTTATATGAGAGAGAAGACTGCCAGTCGTCCAGCAGTAGCTAGTTACTCCTCTTGTAGATGTTATTGTTGTTGAGAGGAGGAAGAGCTCTGAAGCTGCGTGTCGCTCCTGATGGGAGTGAAGGGAACAGAGAGAAGGGCCAAGCCAAGCGCATCCTGACCGGTTCCAAAAGTTGTGAAAACACCTGAGAGGACAGCGAGGGAGGAAGAGGAGAGTTAAAGAAGAAACGAAACAGGAAGAGAATGAAGGAAGAAAAGAAAAGAGAAAAGTGATCAAGAAGTTTGGGGAGAAGATCAAGTGGAAGAAGAGTTAAACATTTTTAACCAGACAAATACAAACAATACAGAGAAGAAGAAGATGGGGTGAAGGGGCGCGAACAAAGTAGAAGAAGAAATGAGGCAGGATGTGGAGAACAGCAGGCGTTCAGAAGGTGACACCTCTCACCTCTCTGATCGTCTTCTGTGGAGCGCGAGGAAGGAGGGAGGAAGAGAGACAAAAGCAGAGGAAGGGGGCAAAGGTCAGAGGAGACACGAAGGTCGTGCTCGTGGTAAAACAGACATTTAAGAAACATAAACACTCGATTTTATTTGTTGAAACTGGAGGAGTGAAGACAGAGTGAATACATTTCAGCGTGGAGGTTTAAAGATTGGATGATTGTGAAGACAGAAGACAAACATAAACGTCAAGTGGACAGAACATTTTAAACTAAGCGAAGGAATCTTGTTACACTGAAACTAAAAAGGCAACAAGGAACCTCAGGATATATCCAACTTAGATTCAAATAAACAGCAGATGGAACACACTTACACACCATTTTGTTCCCCTGGAGAAGAAAAATGTAGTGAGGAAAAAAAGGAACTTGCTAAAAACAACAATTAAACTTTGAACACCTGACCTTGCCAAAACGGATCCCTGGTTCTTATGATAAGTTATTTTCTATTTCCTGCTACACAGTCTTCTACAGATTCA